AAAAAAGTTGAATGTCTTTAACGCAACAATAGCACTGCAATGCATTATTCAAATAATTTCGCTGGAAGAATACGGGAGGAGGGGTTTATCAATGAAATTGGAGTTTCATTTGATTTCATACCGGTGGCATCCGGTCGAGCGCCATTGTCCTGGGTAGAGTTTCGGTTGGTGTGAGGTCTGTGGGTCTCACGGCATAAAGAGAAGGGAAATGAAAAGGGCCACGCTGGCGGTGCCGGTGCACTTGAAAACTGGTTGCTAGCCAAAAATGTTGCGCTGGCCCTTCCATCATTCTGCTTTTACTGTGGGGAGTCGAACAGTGGTTCTAACGGAGAACCGGCCACAGGCGGCTTTCAGTTATCTACGAGAAACATCTTTCGATTTCAGGACATCAAAGTACTTTTGGAATTTTATTTTTCGGTGAAATCGTCTTTGAAATTTTAGTTTAGAATTTTGATCGTGTCTCGGAGAAATTCTGGCATTGTATTTAAATCAAATAAAACTTTTCGTTTGGAAATTTCTCATTTAATTGAACATGAGGTTCGATGTGAGAACCGTAATTCACTGAATTATTTGATTATTCGTGTTTGGAATTTTTTGTATGTTCAAACGAATCTTTTTTACATCCATTTCGTGTGACATTCCGAGGTTCAGATGGAAATTCAAGTGAATTCAAATGGTTTCAAACAGAATTATGACATAAATTTCAAACTTACTTGAATTTTCCAAATTTTTATAAATTCAGTTGAATAATTTAACGAAAATCTACAGTTCTCATTGACTTTCTCATCAAATCGTGATTTTTCAATGACAAGATTTGCTGAAATTTCAGTGGAAGTGTTCACTTGTTCAAAGTAAATTTAGAATCGCTCACACTGTTACAAAAGAAATTGTGCATAGAATGCAGATTCTTAATGCACTGAATCGTTTTATTATTCATGTTTGGCAATTTTTGTATGTTCAAATGTAAATATTTTACCCTCACTTCTACCTTCATTTCGTATCGAATTCCGAGTGTCAGCTGTAAATTTAAGTGAATTCAAGTAGTTTCAAACAGAATGAAAACAGAAATTTCAAACTTATTTGAATTTTCCGAATTTTTATAAATTCAATTGGATAATTTAACGAAAATCTACAGTTTCCATTGATTTTCTCATCAAATTATGATTTTTCAATGACAAGTTATGAAATTTCAGTGGAAGTCTCGCTTGTTGAAAATTAATTTGGGATTGCGTCAAAAGCACCCATAATTCACTGAATCATCTTATCATTCACGTTTGGAAATTCTTCTAAACTCAAACTAAAGTAGTATAAACAGCTTGAATTTTAAATATTAAAATACGAGATAAATTCTAAACCAAAGTTAACACGCATATGACCATTCTGTTTGAGTTTGTGCTGAATCGGCGATGATGAATACCTTTTTTCGCCCTTTTGAATTTATTTTTCCTCCTTACACTCAACGACTCATCTGCAGTTTATTCATATTACTTCAAACAATTTCCACCCTCACTTCCCCCTTCATTTCAGACAGAATTTTCCTCGTGTTCCAGAAAAATTCTGTCACTGAATTTCAATCAAAAAAAACTTTCCATTCAAAATTTTCTCATTAATTTCACTGAAAATATTTCAATTTCTCGAAATTAGGGAAGGTTGGGGTAAAATGGACACTTTTGACTTCTTTAAAAATATTAGTGACGGGTTGAAATGCTGATGAAATTTAATAATTTTTTTTCAATACAAAGAGCAATTCTTTCCCTTTGTGATGAGTCAAAACTGAGCTCTATTGATACATTTGTTTCTGAGTTACGAATAATTTATAAAAGTCTAGTGTCCATTTTACCCTACCCTCCCTCAACAAATATTTTCCTATACCTGAGCCCTCACGGGATTTATTCCCCAACGAATAATTCACCTACTCGAAAATTAAAGCAATAACAAAAAATAAGAAGCGAGTAATAGTGCCGAAAAAATTTTCCCAGTGTTATAAACTATGCGAAGATTCTCTTGAATGTGGGAAAACGTTCGAAAATACCCGGAATGTCCGGGACAATCTCCATACACCTACATACTCAGCGCGCGTAACACCATACATGCGATTTTGCTCACTAACCGCGGTTGTCTCATGCCTTGGGACATCTCAGGAATGCGTCTCCGATGTCCGTAAATATTCTCCGGACCA